CTAAGGCCGTCGAGTGCACGAGCTGTCAAGTGGTTTTTGGTAAGTTAGAGCTTTTAAAACCCCAACAGTGACCCGAAATCTGCTGGACTAGCTTCAAAACACAGTTTTCCACAAAAGCTGCGGCCATTAATGGGTTAACAGAGAGGCAAGTTTTTTCGGAAAAATCCACTTTTTGGCATTAAGCAATCAAATCGGTTAGGGTAACGTAAAATCAGGTGAAAAAGTTAGGGTTAGGGTATCTTTTAGGGTTAGGGTTAATGGTCTACATCAGATTTTTTTGTGATTTTTTTGTGATTTTTTTGTACTCATCTGCCATATGTAGTCATTATGATGAATCATGTTATTCTGATAAAGAGCAAAATATAATTTAGTGGGATTTTCAGGATGTACATAATACGTATGGGCACCATAAATTTACAATGCATTTTTACTCGCAAGTTTTAATGGTCAGTGCATATGTTTGTTCTGATCTCCAGGAATTCATGATCAGTAGTCAAGTGTGATTGATATTTGGTTGTTTTGTTTATGGAGACCTTGAGTAATGTCTGCCTGATACGTCAATAAGCAAATAAGAGCTAACTTTGAATATTATGTGTGGCATTATGTTAATTTAAAAATGTATTGACACTGGTATCCGTACTTCTTTTTACCCCTTAGATATAAGTGCTCCTTCTGAGGTATGTATCACCACTTAAAGGTGACTTAATAAAAATAGCATTTCATCCTTTAATTTATGACAACTGCTTCTTTAATGACAGCTTTGGTGTAAATGAAGAGAGAAAGGGTACTAGTGAATGCACCTACTGTATTTCCCCTAATAAGTGCGCTCTCCCCAGAATAATGGCCAACCCCCCTGCTGGTCATGAGGTCAAAAAAGTGCTCAACTTGAATAAGTGATCCTTCCCCTACTGTTTCACTTTCTTAAATAGTAAGGATACAAGGAAAACCTGTTTCTATTGCCACTTTATTTACAAGATTTTAGGCTTCGACTATAGCGGAATCAGTACAGCTAATTCTGTCTACATTTTCCTGGAGGGTCCTTTTACGTGTCTCAGCTGTTCTGTTATTAATTTTTGTCCTCTTGTTACGCTAACTTTATAAGTGCCTCCCTTTAGCTTGTTAAAGCCCCTTCCTTCCAATAAGCGCCACTCCTTTCAGCTGAAATTTAAATGAGTGCCCAGGTGCTTATTCAAGGAAATATGGCATGCGGAGGGTGAATTGTCGAACGAGGGAATGACGACGGAAAAGCTTGGAGTTTTCAGTATTTATTACGTAATAGTAATAGTTTACATTCTGAAGCTGTAAGAAAATTAATCACGTATCAATGATTTGAAATAATATATCAAAATGGAAAATGAAAGCTCCACGAAGTTGTATGAACTTACGTTTGGTAATGGTAATGGTAATGGTAATGGTAATGGTTTATTAGATATGAATTCGGCACTAAAATGAAATACTTCATATTTACAAGAAATTACAAAAAATATTTACAAATTAAATGAGACTATATAATTAAAAATTTTGCCGGGGGACTGGGTTACCGGCTCACAAGATTCTATTAACAAATTATTACAAATGTGATATAAGTCTATTGCGATAATTCATTAAGCTTTGACGTCATTGCGGGAAAAAAACTTATTTGAAATTGTTTTGTCCTACATTTAAAAAGAGTCAAGTCATTGCTGGAGCGCAGCTGGCGGCCATTTGCGTCTAGTCTTTTCTGTGGAATTAATGATGACAACTGTGAGTTTTTAATTTTCTTGAACTGTTCGAGGCAAAGACGTTCCCTATTTTCTTCCAGTGTGGGGTAATTCAAAACATTACATGCAGTTCTGTAAGAAATTAGTGGTTCGATTATCCTGAAAGCTCTTCTTTGTATCTGTTCTAAATTGTCCACAAGGTAAGATGGAAGGCTAGAATGCCATACCGGGCATGCGTACTCCAAAACAGAACGTATTAGAGCAGTATAGACACTAAGTAAATCCTTGGGTGGAAGGCCATTGCGGCGCAGGACACGAAGGATATAAAGTCGCTGAGCAGCTTTCTTTGTAATGCTAAGAATGTGACTACGCCATTTTAGATCATCCTGAATGAGCACTCCAAGGAGCTTGTGACTTTCTGCTACTTCGATTGAGG